GAGGAAACGGGAACTCTTATACACTATTATTAGAAGGATAAATTGATAGACCATTTTGGGAGAGAAGTTTAAATATGCATACCCTCTGATCTAGCAATACCACTTATGGGAATTTATCCTAAGAAATAATCTGAAAAGTATGCACAGAACTCCAGGAAAGATATTCACTACAGCACATTACAGAACATTATTGGAATCAACCTAAATATCAATAGGGGATTAGTTAAATAATGGTATATCCATATAATAGGATACTCTGCTTTCACTGAAAAAGATGAGGTAGATCTATATGGATTGGCATAAAAAGATATCCAGAATTTATTAAGTATAAAAAGTACATTTACTGAACAGACTGCATATGATTATCTAATAAAATTTTTATAATTTCTTAATATATGCATAGAAACAATAGCTTGGGAGTGTTACACAGGCCTTTCATTTTATTATACCTTACATATTTTTAGTAGCTTTACAAATATTTTTTAAATTTAACTTTTTAAATATATTTTTAATAGCTGAAACAATGGGCTCAAACATACCAATGATCATGAAGATGGCACAGGACTGGGCAACGTTTCGTTCTGTTATACATAAGGTCGCCATGAGTCAGAGCCAACTTAATAGACGGCAACTAACAACATTTATTACTTTTAAATCATTAAAAACAGTAAACTTATTTCCACTTTGAAAAAACGAAAATAAAAAGGTATTAAAATCAGTCTTTTGTATTCTGCTTTAAAAGTAAATGCAACAGAATCAGAATATACTTATTACTGGAAAGGACCTTGGTTTAGTCAGCTGGTTTCCACGGAAAACTATACAACCTCATCTGCTGCCTTCTACAGTATTTAATGATCCTCGAGTCTATGGAAATTCTCCTTTATGTCTATACAAAATTTCTCCTTACTAGTTAAGTCTATTTTATTAGGTTCCATTTCCAGTGGAGATATTTGATAGCTTAGTATACACACACACTTTTTGTTTTCTGAACTATTTGAAAAAGTTACAGACATCATGACACTTCCCTTCTTAGTTATCTAGTGCTGCTGTAACAGAAACATCACAAGTAGATGGCTTTAACAAACAAATTTATTCTCTCACAGTCTAGTAGGCTACAAGTCCGAATTCAGGGCGCCAGCTCTAGGGGAAGGCTTTCTCTCTGTCGACTCTGAGGGAAGGTCCTCGTCATCAATCTTCCCCTGGTCCAGGAGCTTCTTAGCGCAGGGACCGCAGGGTCCAAATGACGTCTTCCACTCCTGGCTCTGTCTTCTTGGTGGCATGAGGTCCCTATTTCTCTGCCCCATTCTCTTTTATATCTCAAAAGAGATTAACTCAAGATACAACCTAATCCTGTAGATTGCATCCTGCCTCATTAACATAACTGCCTCTAATCCTGCCTCATTAACATCATCAAACCAAAAAACCAAACCTGTTGCCGTGGAGTTGACTCAGCCACCCTGTAGGACAGGGTAGAACTGCCCCATAGGGTTTCCAAGGAGCAGCTGGTGGACTTGAACTGTCTGCCAACCTTTTGGTTAGCAGCTGGAGCTTTTAACCACTGTGCCACCAGGGCTCCTATTAACATGATAGAGATTAGGACTTACAACACATATAATAATCACATCAGATCACAAAATGGAGGACAATCACAGAATACTAGGAATCATGGCCTAGCCAAGTTGACACCATTTTTGGGGGATACAATTCAATCTATAACACCTTCTAAATACTTCAGCATGCCTCTCCTAAGAATAAGGGCATTCTCCTATTCAACTACATTACCATTATTACACCTAAGAAAATTAACAATAATTTCATATGTAATATCCAGTATGTATTCAAATTTCCAAAATTGTTCCCCCCAGACATCTTTTTTTTTTTTTTAAATCAGGATCCATTTGAGTTTCATGTATTACATTTGGTTATTATGTCTCCTTACCCATTGCCTTCAAGTTGATTCCAACTCATAGCAGCTCCACATGTTACCAAGTAGAACTGTTTCATGAGGTTTTCTTAGTTGCAGGAACTGACTCAACAGCAGTCAACAACAATCTTTACAGAAGCAGATGGCCAGGCTTTTCTTCTGCAGTGCCACTGGGTGGGTTCCAGTGGCCACCCTTTAGGTTAGTTACTGATTGCAAACCACTTGCGCCACCCAGGGACCTATGTCTCTTTAAATCCAGAGCCAGTTTTCTTGTAGAAACTTCTATATTTTGGATTTGAATGATTAGTACATATAATGTTTTTGTAATTTTTCCCCCATGACATGGACTTAATTTTTAAAAATTTACTCTGAACATTTTCAAACGTACTTTAAGATAGAGAAAATACTACAATATTAGCCATCATCTGTTTCAACAATTATCAAGATTTTATAGCCATTTTATCCCATCATACAGTATACGTTTCTTACAAAAAAAAATGGGATGGGGACATTTTCTTACAAAACCTCAATGCCATTTTCACACCTTACAAAATAATTCTTTGCTATCATCTAATATCTGGACCACTGTCAAATTTCCCCAGTCGTCTCAAAAATGTCTTTTATAGTTGGTTTGTTTGAATCAGGATTTAAACTAGGTCCACACACATTACATTTGACGCTGTGTCTCTAAAGCTGTTTAATCTAGAGCAGTCAACCATCACTTAAAAACAATCCTGTAGCAGAATGGACTAATTTACATATGTATTTACTGCATATTTTTAAGCAGGGCTTGGAAATGGTTCTTCCCAGTTCAGTCATGGCTGAGGAAGAGAAACTGAAACAGACCTAAATTTTTACATTTGGGTCTCCAGAATGGGTAACCGGTACGGGAAAAATTAGATACTGAGGCTCTGCTAGAAACCTAATCTCCCTCTCAGAACACAAGGGCAGCATGTACGTTGCATAGCAACCAAATCTTGGCCCATCAGATTTTCAGCAAAGCCAGAAACAGTGCTGGCTGACTCAAAGATAGCGGTCCACTGCGTAGTCATTCTCCACAGTCCCGTCAATAACCCAATTTTATGCTTCAGGCCCCTGAAAAGGCTCACTACGCCTCTTCTGAGTCTCCTATCCTAAGGCTTTGACCCGTAATTTTTCCCATTCTGTAATCTTTTCCGTTCTGTAATTTTTCTGTTCTGCTTACTGGTACTGGAGGACCCAAACTGTAGAAATTTGGGTCTCTTCCGGGTTTGCTTGGTTGCCATGGCTGAACCGGTTCCAAGCATTTCAAAGTCCTGTTTTAAAGCAACCACACACTGTATTTTGAAGTTCTGGAACTTGGTTTTATCTAGAACTACTGCAAATAGCTATAAAGACACAGCATTCATAAACCACAGAAATCTCATATGGTAATGCGCAGCTCCATACTTGTCGTATGACTGCCCCATCACAATTTAGCAAACTACATTTTTAGCATCGGTAGGTGCTGCCTAGGAGCCCTGGCGGTGCAGTGGTTAAGCTCTGGATTGCTAACCAAAGGGTCAGGGTCAGCGGTTCAAACCCACCAGTCCCTCCGAGGGAGAAAGATGGGGCAGTCTGCTTCCTTATAGATTTACAGCCTTGGAAATCCTGTGGGGGCAGTTCTACTCTGTCCTATAAGGTCACTATGAGTCAGAATCCACTCCAAGGCAACGAGGTTTTTTTTTTTGTTTTGTTTTGTTTTTTTTTCTTTTTTAAGATACAGTCTCTACAGCAGGGGATAGGATTACCTCCTCCTGGAAGCCAGAGTCCGGGAAGCCCCTTCCGATGCTAAGCCGAGAGAATGATTAACAAGTTACAAACGAAGACAACGAAGTGAAAAAGTTTCCGCTGAATACAGAGAGAAGGTAAACAGCCAGAGAATGTGGTGCTGAGAAAACACATTCAATTATACAGACAGACCCTAAAGATTCAGGTTGAAAGGTCAATCAGACCCCTTAAAAGTAGAGCAAGAGAATCAGGGTAAGTAGATGGAAACGGAGAGATGGTGGGTAACTAAGGGAGGTGGATGAAGAGAGGGACAAAGAGTGGTGGGTTCCCAGAGACAGGTCGAAACTCGCTCGGCCACCCCGCCCAGAGAAAAAAAATCGAGACTCGGGCACAAGTCCTCGAGGGTGAGTGGAGAGGCGAGCGAGGGACAAGAGCAAACCTCAGAGATTAACTGCATGCGTTGAAGGAAGTACTGGGGCCAGTTTTGCCAGGAACAGGAACAATAAAGAACCAGGGCACAAGGTACACGGCCGAAAAAAGCTAGCGACACTGACCTCACCACGCCCGGAGCGAGGCCGATGGAATTCAGGGCGCGCCCACCGCGAGTGACTCAGGTGACGTGACGTTTCGTGCGCTACAACCGTGCCTCCGCCACGGAAAGTAGTCCCCGGCAGCGCCGGCTCTGAAGGGAGCCGGGAGAGAGAGCCTGGCGGCGCTCAAGGTCGTAGGTCGCGGGAACGGCGGGAATTCAGCTAATCCCTGGAAAGAAGGGCGTGGCTAGCTCTGCCCTGCGAATCCCTCCGCCGCGCTTGCTGTTGTGAGGCCGGGGAAGCCACCATTTTGGATGCTGAGCTTTGATACTGAAGTCAGCTTTGTGGTTCTTTCGCCTGGATTCGATCACGTGAGTGTGGTTTCGTCGGCGTCAGGGGTCTTAGTTTTCCTGATTTAGAAGTCTCTGCTCTGCGCTTTGGATATAGAAGGCCCCAGCCAGCGCTAGGGGCCGGGGTTCAGACGACTCGGGAGGTGGCAGGTGAGGAGAAAGGAAAGGATTCTGGATATGGGGATCAGGCCTAAGGTTGAGCCGGAGGAGCCGTGGCGCGGGAGGCAGCCGGAGGTCGAGGGGGCGTGGCAGGGCCGCGGGCAGCTTAGAGACCTCTAGTCCTGGACACTTGAAGCCGCCAAACTTTCCTTTCCAAATGTGTCTCTTCCCTGAGGCGGAAACGCCGTGACCTCCATGAACACCCGTCGGTGACAGAGCTCGACCTGGGCTCTCAGGGCGACACCCGTACCCCGTCTGGCCTAGACAGTCTTATGTGTCCAGTGCCCGCGAGAAGCTAGTCGCTTCCGAGTCCCGTCAGCTTCCACGGGGTGGGATGGCCGCTTTTCTGGCCTTGTTCCGGGCAGGCCCGAACTTGGGCCCCATTTGGCTGGAGTTAAGTTGCCGTTTTTTTCTTTTTTTAATCAGTGAAGTAAGTAGCTGCCTTTACCCCCTTTCGCAGACCGCTGTACGTGTCTGATGGTGAGATCTTGTCAGGAGTCTGCGGTCCTGTCCTGGTCTTTTTTGTATTAGCGCCTCCTCTTCGGGGGTGTTGGAGATGAGGACTTGAAACTCACCAGCATAAACTTTTACAAGCATCGGAGCCCAAGAGCGTCCGTTTAATAATTAGGTAATTGAACTGCAGGATGATCACAAGATACAGCCACCTTACTCTGTAGTAGTAAAACTAAGGTCTGGTCTTAACAGCTCGTTTTGGAGATTGTCGTTTTTTCTATTATGTTTACATATTTATTATTCTTAACTTTTTATTATGGAAAATTGCAAACAGACAAAAGTAAAAAGCGTATGAATTTCCACGTTTCTTACTTAGCTTCAACAGTGATCAACGTATTCGTGGCCAATTTTGTTTCATCCATACCCCACCCCTATCTGGATGTATGTGTATCTATCTATATGAACCCTATGGCGCAGTTCTCCTCGTTGTATAGGGTCACAATGAGTCGGAATCGATTCGACAGCAGTGGGTTTGATTTGCTTTTATGTGTATATGTTTTTTATTATTTTAATTTAATAAAATAATAGAATAAATTAAGAATGTATTTTAATATATGTATATATATCACAATTAGAAGCCTTTTGGCTCCCGTACCTTTAAACCAATTATCCATGGGAAGCTGTTTTGACAGCTTCCTCAGAACCACATCCTCCGGTACAGAAAAGTTTAGTAGTCATTAGAAGATAGAAAAGTGTTTTCAGACTTCAATATTAGTATTACGTTTTAAAATTACTCAATTTTTAAAATCTTCTCATTTTTAAAGTAATGTCATTGTTTTGTTTGAATTAGGTATTTCCATTCTCCTTTTCTTCCTGCGCCTCTCTCTGGCTTCTAAATGTAAAAGAGCTCCAGAATCTCCAACTCTAGTCTGCTCAGTTTAAGCTCTGTTATTTTGAAATAATCAGAACCAAGTACCAATTATTAGTGGTCTATACTGATAGAAAAATGAAACTAACTTCAGAAAATCTAGTCGAACAAAATAATTTCAGATATCCACCATCGCCCCCAGTTAACATTGAGTTGATTCTGACTCATGGCAACCCAGTGTGTGTCAGAATAGAACTGTGCTTTATAGAGTTTTCAGCGGCTGATTTTTCGGAAGTAAATCGTCAGGTCTTTCTTCTGAGGCGCTTCTGGGTGGACTCCAACTGCTAGCCTTTCACTTAGTAGTCAAGTGCTCAACCATTTGTGCCACCCAGGGCTTTCTTGCACCACTTGGGGACTCCTAATTTCAAATATAGGAGAAGTAGTATGTCTATGAATATTTCAGCATTGTGTATATGATGCAAATATCAAAAGATGGGGGAGTTTATGTTTACATGAGAGACATGTTACGGCATAAACTGTGGTAATGTTATGCTTCAACTGTACTGACCTGGCAATTCTCAGAAAGCTCCTGTTCTTTCTGGTACTGGGTTATTTGCACACACTGCTCCATCTGCCGGGGATACTCACACCCTCTCTTTGTTTGTTCTTTAAGACTCACCTTAGGCCGTGCCTTCTGGAAAGCCTTTTATAACACCCTCAGTAGGTTGGGTGTTTTTTCTCTAGAACAAGGTTTCTCAATCTCAGCACTATTGACATTTTAGGTGGGATAATTCTTTGTTGTGGGGGAGCTGCCGTGTTCATTGTAGATGTTTAGCAGAATTCCTGGTCTCTACCTACTAGACAAATCTCTGGTAGCTCAGTGGTTAAGAGCCCGGCTGCTAACCAAAAGGTCGGCAGTTCAAATCCACCAGCTGCTCCTTGGAAACCCTATGGGGCAGTTCTACTCTGTCCTATAGGGTCACTATGAGTCAGAATTGGTGACAATTGGTTTTTTTTTAACCTGCTAGATGCCAGTAGCATCCCCTCCAATTTTGACAATCTAAAATGTCTCCAGACATTGCCAAATGCCCTCTGGGGTGCAGAATTGCCTTGGTTGAGAGCTATTCTAGAATTAAAATCTTTGCCAAACAGTATTGTAGTGGATGGAATTTCTTAGCTGTGTTTTCCAAGACTAAATGTTCCTTTGAGGGCAGAACTGTGTCTTATTTATCATTTTATTCCCAGCATCTAACACAATACCTGACACACAGATAATAAATATTTGCTAAATGAAACAACATAATTCAGTGTAGTGGATCCCAGATACTTCATGATGTGCAAGCCGCATTTTAAACTGGGCCGTAGATTAAGTATTAAATGTGTAAAGGCTTCTAGAGGCAACTTTACAAAAGGAAAGTACATATGGTGTTTTATAATAGTGATTATTATGGATTGAATTGTGTCCTCCCAAAGTATACGTTGTAAATCTTAAACTGTATGCCTGTGGTTATAATCCTGCTTGGGAATGGGTTGTCTTTGTTATGTTAATGAAGCAGGATTAGCATAGGGTGTATTTTGAGTCAGTCTGTTTTGAGATATAAAAGAGATTAAACAAGCAAGGAAGCAGAGATGGGGGAAGAGAGTTGCCAAGCCACATGAAGATGGCCCTTGTCTCAAAAGAGACAAGGACTTTTCCTCCAGAGCTGACAGAGAGAAAGCCTTCTAGAGCCAACACCCTGAATTTGGACTTCTAGCCTCCTAAACTGTGAGAAAATAAATTTCCTGTTTGTTAAAGCCACGCATTTGTGGTATTTCAGTTATAGTAGGACAGTGATTTATGCACAAGCAGACAAACACTATTCCTAGTGATCTGTACATTGAATCTCTTTTGATTTGCCCATTTTTAGGTTACTTTGTTAGACCAAGCTTTTGTTTAGATATTACATGTTTTGAAGTTTGAGTGTAGAATTAATTGACATAAATAGAAATTTGCTGTGTTAAAATAGAATGTACAGTGGTCAGTGCACAATGGTATAACCTAAAATCGTGTGGGATGGTTGTCTTGACTCTAAGTCTGCTCTTCAGTGAAAGTCTGGGTAAATAGCTTTCTGTTGTAGAATTTTGTGGAGCAGTTGTTTTCCTTGGACCTTACATCCCTTTATATATGTTTTTGTATGTGAGTAGATGTTAATGATAGTTCTGTGATTTTGGGCATTTTTCCCAAAGGCTGAGATTAGTAGGATTTTAGGAATCAAGAAGATAAGAGAATGTCTTTGAATTTGGGTCTAAATTCAATGGTCTTTTCCCATCATTACCCGTTTAGATTTTTGGGAGAAGCAGGGGACCCTCCTGCTTCTTTGTCTTTTTATCACCCCGCTCCTACACTAATACATAGATACTCATTTCATCTACCACCAAGTTCTTTCAGATATGCCTTCAAAATAGATCTCAAATTCTACCACTTCTCCCACCACCACTGCCAGCCACTCCAGTCTAGGCTGTTACCATCTCTTGTTTGGACTCCAATAATAGCCTTCTCATTGGTCTTGCTTCCATTGTTACCCTTCCCTAATCTCTCCACATAACAGCCAAAATGATCTTTTAAAAACGTGAATCAGATCCTGTTCTTTTCTTATATTAGAAAACCACTTTGGCTTATTGTGTCGAATAATCCACTTTCTCAGGCAAAGCCAACATGGTGCCCTGGACAGAAGCATTATGCTGTCCCTCTGTAGCAAAGACCTGAAGAACTAAGTAAAACAGATACAAGTGTCAATCTTGGAACCCTAAGCATCAAATGAAGGGATAAAGAACTAGATCAAACACCGAATGGAAGAAGAAACTGAAGGAAAACAGAGAACAAAGAGGGATACAGTGGAGGTCCCCTACAAACTAACACAGCACAGCATCACTATCTTGAGCACAGCCAGCAACGATCCTGGACAGGGAATATAGGAAGGCAATTTCACGGAGCTCCCATCAGGAGACAGAGCACCTGGTAACCAGATAACAAGCTTTCCCACCCCTCACCCTTCTATCCTGTTTGTCACGCATATCCCTTCCCAATGGGCCATGCCACACCGCTTGGCCTGCTGTCACCTGGGGTTCACCCTGTCCCCACCTGCCAGCTCCTGCCGCGCCATTTGTTTTCCATTTCTTCCTTTCTTTCTCCCTCCCACCTAGCTCCACACACCACCTCTACCCCTTCCCAACTGGCCATGCTGCGCCACTCAGCTAGAGAGCCACTGGCTTGCCGCCACCTCAGGTTCCCCTGACCCCCACCCACTGGCTCCTACTGTGCCATTTTTTCCCCTTCTTCCTTTTCTTTCTCCCTCCCAGCTAGCTCCATATGCTACCTCTATCCTTTCCCAGTGGGCCACGCCGCAGTGCCACGGGTAGAGAGCACCTGGCCTGCCGATGTCACGAGTCTGCCCTGCCGGCTCCCGCTATGCCATTTTTTTTCCCCTTTCTCCCTCCCACCTCGCCCCATACATCACCTCCCCCTACTTCCTGCCAGCCTCCAGGTCCACCCTGCCCCTACCGCCAGCTACCCTTTTTTTCTTTTGTCTTGTTTGTTCCCCCTACTTATCCCTTATGACACCTGCCTTCCCGCTGAAGGACATTATGTAATGATTAAAGAGACAGTCCACCAAGAAGACATAACCTTAATATCTATGCACCCAACGACAGAGCTCCAAAATACATAAACTCTAACAGCACTGAGAAGAGAAACAGACAGTTCCACAATGGTAGTAGGACACTTCAACATACCACTTTTGGTAATGGACAGAACATCTAGAAAGAAACTCAGCAAAGATGTAGAAGATCTAAAGGCCAAAATCAACCAACTTGACCGCATGGACATATATAGAACAGTCCACCCAACAGCAGCAAAGTATACATTCTTTTCCAACGCACGTGGAACATTCTTCAGAATGCACCACATTTTAGGCCACAAAGCAACCCTTGGTAAAATCCAAAACATCGAAATAATACAAACCATTTTTTCTGATCATAATGCCATAAAAGTAGAAATCAGTAAGAGGAAGGGCAAGGAAAAAAAAATTAAATACGTGGAAACTGAATAGCAGCTTGCTTGAAAACAACTGAATAATAGAAGAAATCAGAGAGGGAATCAAAAAATTCCTACAGTCAAATGAGAATGAAAACACCAGAACCTTTGGGACACAGCAAAGGCAGTGCTCAGAGGTCAGTTTTTAGCAGTAAGCACGCACGTGAGAAAAGAGGAACGGGCCAAAATCAAAACGTTAGCCCTACAACTCGAACAAACAAAAGAAGCCCGCAGCCACCAGAAGAAAGGAAATAATAGATTAGAGCAAAAATAAATGACACAGAGAACTGAAAATAGAAGGAGTCTACAAGACCAAAAGTTGGTTCTTTGAAAAAATTAACAAAATCAATAAACTATTGGCCAAACTGACAAAATAAAGACAGGAGAGGAAGCAAATAACCCAAATAAGAAATGAGATGGGGAACATTACAGCAGACTCAACTGAAATAAAAAGAATCATAACAGAATACTATGAAAAATTGTACTCCAACAAAATTGAGAACCCAGAGGAAATGGACAGATTTCTGGAAACACACTGCCTACCTAAACACAAACTGAGATAGAAAATCTGAACAGACCCATAACAAGATAAGAGATTGAAGAGGTAATTAAAAAAACTCTCAACTAAAAAGCGCCCTGACCTGGACAGTTTCACTGGAGAATTCTACCAAACATTCAGAGAAGAACTGATACCAGTACTACTCAAACTATTTCAGAGCATATAAAAGAAAGGGATACTCCTGAATTCATTCTATGAAGCCAGCATAACGCTGATACCAAAGCCAGGCGAATACACTACAAAAAAAGAAAATTACAGACCAGTATCTCTCATGAATATAGATGTAAAAAGTCTCAACAAAGTTCCAGCTAATAGAATTTCAACATCATATTAAAAAAGAAAGAAAACAAAATGTGCTACTATCAAGTGGGATTCATACCAGGTATGCAAGGATGGTTCGGCATTAGAAAATCCGTCATTGTAATCCACCACATAAATAGAAAGAAAGAAAAGAATTACAAGATAATCTCAACTGATGCGGAAAAGGCATTTGATAAAGTTCAACACCCATCCCTGTTAAAAACTCAATAAAATAGGAATAGAAGGGAAATTCCCTCAACATAATAAAGGGCATCTATACAAAACCAACAACTAACATCATTCTCAGTGGAGAGAGACTGAAAGCATTCCCCCTGAGAATGGGAACAAGACAAGGATGCCGTGTATCACCACTCGTGTTTAACATTGTGTTGGAAGCCCTAGCTAGAGCAGTGAAAGCAAGAAAAAGAAAGAAAGAGCATCCAAATTGGGAAGAAAGAAGTAAAACTATCCCTGTTCACAGATGACATAGTCCTATATGTAGAGAACCCCAGAGATTCCGCAAGAAAACTATTGGAACTAATAGATTTAGCAGAGTAGTAGGATATAAGATCAACATACAAAAATTATTTGGATTCCTATACACCAACAAAGAGAACTTCGAAAAGGAAATCAGGAAAACAATACCATTTATAATAGCCCCTAAAAAGATAAAATACTTAGGAATAGATCTAACCAGGGATGTAAAAGACTCATACAGAGAAAACTACAAAACACTATTGCCAAGAAACCAAAAGAGACCTACATAAATGGTAAAACATACTGTGCTCACAGATGGGAAGATTCAGCGTTCTAAGAATGTCCATCCTACCGAAAGCGATCTACAGATACAATGCAATCCCAATCCCAACAGCATTCTTTAACAAAATGGAAAAACTAATCACCAACTTTATGTGGAAAGGAAAGAGGAGTTGGATAAGCAAAGCATTATTGAAGAAAAAGAACTAAGTAGGAGGCCTCACACTACCTGATCTCAGAACTTACTATACAGCCACAATAGTCAAAACAGCCTGGTACTGGTACAACGACAGACACATAGACCAGTGGAACAGAGTTGAGAACCCAGATGTCAGTCCATCCACCCATGGTCAGCTGATCTTTGACAAAGGACAAAGTCCATTAAGTGGGGAAGAGACAGTCTCTGACAAGTGGGCCTGGCAAAACTGGCTGTCCATCTGTAAAAAAATGAAACAGGACCCGTACCTCACACCATACACAAAAACTAATTCAAAATGAATCAAAGACCTAAATATAAAACCAAAAACTATAAAGATCATGGAAGAAAAAATAGAACAACACTAGGGGCTCTAATATATGGCATAAACAGGGTATAAATCATAATAATACACAAACACCAGAAGCTAAGCTAGATAAATGGGATCTTCTAAAAATTAAACACTTCTGCCCATCAAAAGACTTCACCAAGAGGGCGAAGAAGAGAACCTACAAACTAGGGAAAAATATTTGGATATGACATATCAGCGAAAGGTCTACTCTTTAAAATCTATAGGGAAATCAAACACCTATACAATAAAAAGACAAATAATCAAGTTTAAAAATGGGCAAAGGATATGAACAGACACTTCACCAAAGAAGACATTCAGGCAGCTAACAGACACTTGAGGATATGCTTGTGATCATTAGTCATTAGAGAAATGCAAATCAAAACTACAGTGAGATACCATCTCACCCCAACATTACTACACAGATCAAAAAAACAGAAAACAAATATTGGTGAGGTTGCAGGGAGATTGCAACTCTTATGCACTGCTGGTGGGAACGTAAAATGATACATCCACTATGGAAAATGATATGGCACCTTATTAAAAAGCTAGAAATAGAAAGACTGTACAATCTAACAATCCTACTCCTATGACTATATCCTAGAAAAGTAACAGCCGTCACACGAATAGACATATGCACACCCATGTTCCTTGTAGCATTATTCACAATAGCAAAAAGATGGAGACAATCTAAATGTCTATCAACAGATGAATGGATAAACTGTGGTACACACACACAGTGGAATACTAAGCAACGATAAAGAACAGTGATGAATCTTTGAAACATCTCACAGCATGGATGAGTCTGGAGGGTATTTTGCTGAGTGAAATGAGTCGATGACAAAAGGACAAATATTGTATGACATCACTATTATAAAAACTCAAGAAAAGGTTTACACACAGAAAAAAACAATTTTTGATGGTTATGAGGGAGGGGAGGGGTAGGGAGGGGAAGTCACTAGATAGTAGACAAGTGTTCACTCTGGTGAAAGGACAGACAGCGCACAATATAGGGGAAATCAGCATAACTTGATCAAGGCAAAGCCATAGAAGCTTCCTAGACACATCCCAACACCTTGAGGGCCCGAGTTACTGGGGCTGAGGGCCAGAGATCATAGTGTCTGGGGACATATAGGTCAATTGACATAACATAGTTCATAAAGAAAATGTTCTGCTTCCTACTTTGGTGAGTAGCATCTGTGGTCTTATAAGCTTGCAAGCAGCCATCTAAAATGTATCTATGGGTCCTATCACATTCGTCACAAAGGAGAATGAAGAAAAGCAAAGAGGCAAAGAATACATCAGTCCGAAGGATAATGGACCACCTGAACCACAGCCTCCACTAGCCTGAGCCCAGAACTAGATGGTGCCTGGCTACTACCAACAACCGCTGTAACAGATATCACAATAGAGGGTCCCGGACACAGTGGGAGAAAAATGTAGAACAAAATTCACATTCACAAAAAAAGACCAGACTTACTGGTCTGACAGACTGGAGGAACCTCCAAGACTATGGCCCCCGGACTCCCTGCTAACTCAGACCTGAAGCCACTCGCAAAGTCCACCTTTCAGCCAAAGATTAGATGGGCCTATAAAAGAAACAATACTGCACTTGAGGAATGTGCTCCTTAGTTCAATCATGTATACGAGACCAAATGGCAACACCTGCCCAAAAGCAAAGATGAGAAGGCAGGAGGGGACAGGAAACCTGTATGAATGTATCTGGGGAAGCTGGGGTGTAAAGGGAAAGGGGAAGAGTGCTGACACATTGTGGGAATTGCAACCAATGTCATAAAACAATTTTTGTATAAATTTTCGAATGAATAACTAGTGCTGTAAACTTTCGCCTAAAACAACACAAGCACAGATCCACTTTCTGAGAGGTGGTACTTCTGAACTAATTTTAACTTGTAAATTGTCATTGTGTTTCTTATCTTTTTCCAGGAGGAACAGCACAGCATGCTGGGCTCTGGATTTAAAGCTGAGCGTTTACGAGTCAATTTGAGATTAGTCATAAATCGTCTTAAACTATTGGAAAAAAAAAAAAGTGAGTAGTGCACGATTGCCTTATCTTTTTCTCGCAAAATACATCAATGGATGTTAGCACCCCAACGATGAGTCTTTCAGACCAGTGCTATGTATGAAGTCTGAGGACCTTTAAACTTTGGCTGCATTTCCGTACTTGAGGTTAAGTATCTTTGCGACTAGTCAGACTGAATCACTCTGTTGCAGGGAGAGAGACATACTCACTTTCTATGGAATAGGTAACGATGGCTCCCGAGTTGGAAATTTCTGCCTATATAAACAGTACTCTCACCTAGACAAAGAAGCAGATTCTGCATTAGATTTGCTAAGAGAGAGTGAGTTAGGATATAGCAAAAATTACCTACTTCTGTCTATTGGGGTGGCCCATGGGCCAGGTCCCAGTGTACTACTATTAATGTGATTAGGATGGGATTTGTGCCTTAGCGGAACTGGCCCAGAAAGCAAGGAAGGAGATTGCAGACTATCTGGCTGCTGGGAAGGATGAACGAGCTCGGATCCGAGTGGAACACATTATCCGTGAAGACTATCTTGTGGAGGCCATGGAGATCCTGGAATTGTACTGTGACCTGCTTCTGGCTCGATTTGGCCTCATCCAATCTATGAAGTAAGATATTTTCGTTTGTAGACCTAACTTACATCTGGAATTTGAGAAAGGAGTGATATCGGTCTCTTTCTGTGTGTAGGGGGCTCGCTCTAAGGGACTTCTTTACATACCCAAGGACATTTCTCCTACTAGTTGCCTGAAGGCCTGGTCTCAATGTAGAAAATTGTTGGAAAAAAAGTATAGAATCGGAAATGAAGAGGCTTAGGTTTGAGTCTTGGCTCGACCATTTCCTGGCTGTGTGGTCTCAAGCTTGCATGTCTACTTAGCATTTCTAAGTTTGTATTTCTGCAAAAGTAAAATAAGATGATGATAATGGCTAGAAGCCTAGAGTTGTCAGAATCACTTGAGATTTCGAAAGAGCTCTAATAAACCAAAACCAAATCCTTTGCCATCAGGTGAATTCCAACTCATTGACCCTATAGGACAGAGTATGGTTTCCAAGGTGTGGCTTGTGAATTTGAACTGCCGACCTTTTGGTTAGCAGCCATAGCTCTTAATGACTGTGCCACCAGGCCTCCCGAAAAAGCTTTAGAGACTATCAAATATGCTGCTCAAAAGCTAGGGTTTTGTTGGTTTGTTTTAGAGAATATTAGATTTTATTAATTTTTTTTTTCTTAATTAGGGAGCTAGATTCTGGTCTGGCTGAATCCGTGTCAACACTGATTTGGGCTGCTCCTCGACTCCAGTCAGAAGTGGCTGAGTTGAAAATAGTGAGTACAGCCAATTTCACTAATTTGTGTAGTTTTTCATATTGTTAGAAAGATTGGTGAATAAAAATTACTGTTTTCCTCAGAGATCTCCAAAAGAGTAGGAATAGGATTTGTTTTTGTTCATCATTATATTTATATTGCACATCATAATGCTTGTAGTAGTGTTTGGCACATAATTAATACTCAGTGGATGGATAGTTGAATAAATGAATTAATGTGAACCCCTTAAAGTTTTACAGACATCAGTTTTTTGGAAATTCTGTAATGAAGCATGTTCATTATTGATAGGAGGATGATTGAAGCAGTCTGTAGGAGTGGTTTCCAATTTTATTTGCTTATCTTTTTTCTCTGTAGGTTGCGGATCAGCTCTGTGCCAAGTATAGCAAGGAATATGGCAAGTTATGTAGAACAAACCAGATTGGAACCGTGAATGACAGGGTAATGAACATACTTGTTAAACATCAGTCAGTGGGCAGGGTGGGAGTATATGCCATTTTATTGCCTGTAGTGATTCTACTGGGTACCATTGGATGACTGAGTTCATTCCATAGTGAGAGTGAGAAGGTAGGTGATCTAACTGGGAGTTCAGTCAACACCTTCCTCCTGCCCTGTACCTCTGATTGTGGTACTCTGTGTCATTCTTCACTTTTCCCTTGTGTTCTTTACTACATATTTTACCTTTGTGATTAGTAGAAGTGTGGGGGGAAGAAGAGTGGGTGAATTCAACTGTGGAAGGCAACAGTATCAGTCTTATCAACGCAACACCATATATAACCAGGGAGTGTGTGTGTATGTGTTTGTGTGTGAGAAAGAGAGAGGGACGTGAGTCTTACAGTGTGGTTTGTAACTCAAAAAATCATTTAACTTGTCTGAACCTCATTTTTTTTTCTTAATTTACTGTAAAATGAAAGGAACAAAATTGAATTAATTAGATTAGGCTTAGGCTGTTTGGTATAAATGCATTTTAACTTATTCCTGGGTGTTTTACTTACAGCTAATGCACAAACTGAGTGTGGAGGCTCCACCCAAAATCTTGGTGGAGAGATACCTGATCGAGATTGCCAAGAATTATAATGTACCCTATGAGCCTGACTCTGTGGTCATGGTAAGTTGAGAATGTCCCAGAGTACAAAGGAAAAATGAGTCTCTAGATGTGACCTTCTTTGAAAAATGACCATATTCTTTGCAGTAGCTCAAGTTCGTATGTGGGAGTTTAAACCTTTGTCTGGTTAGTGCGTTTTTGGGTGACAATAAACTTGCCTGCATATCTCACAGAATATTTAAGAATCAGATGAAATGAACAACTGAAAGCCCTTTGAGAGGGTACAAACCTTGATACAAATGTAAAGTAACGTTATTGCTACTTTTCTGTGAACTTCAAGGAAGTGAGTATGCTGCTGTGGATAGCAGGAAATGCCCCAAGGTCCGAAATAGTTCATGAAACACTTACTGGTGCCTACCAAGTTCCAGACTGCACAGAAAGCTGAGAATACAGAGATAAAAACAAGGTCCCTGTCCTGAAGAGGCTTACAGTACAGGAGGACAAATAGGCAGTTAAGGTCGACAGAGTGTAGTGGATGCTTTGGTTTGCTGCTTAGACATCCCCACCCCTCCTTTCAGGACGGAAGTGCTTATTACTCCAGCTCTTGAGAGTATTGATGACTCAACAGCTGAGTTCCCCTCCAGAGATGGCCCTCAGCTGAAGAGAGCTACCTCACCCAAAGTCACAACTCTTTCCTGGGTGCAGCCTGCATCCAATAACTGGTTAGCGCAGAGGTTTAAATACTACCCCCTTGTCCCAATCGAGGACACCTCTTCAGATCCATCCCAGCTCCAGAGCCCCCTAGAGTATTGACTGAGGCCTTTGTTGTGATTGCATTGCACCTCAACTTCTCTCTCTGCCCAACCCTGCTTCCTTTGCTTGCCCTACAGGTGTTGCTCTCAAGAGCACTCCTCAGAAAACTTCATGTTTATCCCCACCTCAGAGTCTGCTTCCTGGGGAACCTGGCCTGCAACATGGGTTAATGCTGAGTTTTTCTTTTTTTCAGGCAGAAGCTCCTCCTGGGGTAGAGACAGACCTTATTGATGTTGGATTCACAGATGATGTGAAGAAAGGTGGCCCTGGAAGAGGAGGAGGAGGAGGTGGTGGGTTCGCCACACCAATTGGTGGACCTGATGGAACAGTGCCAATGCCCATGCCTATGCCCATGCCATCTCCCGGTTCTCCTTTCTCATATCCGCTTCCAAAGGGACCAGTAAGTATACTCGTAAGTAGTGTGAATGTGAACTCTAGAAAATGTAATAGAAGATGACAGATTGGCTTTGTGAATACACTCAAGAATTACAGGCTGTCAGGATTTAGCAGTAGGAATGGTATTACCTTAGTGATCATGTTGTGGGAAAAAAAAACTATCTTTGGGATTTAGAGAAAGTCTTTGGTTAGCTGTAGCTAATGAAGTAAGAAAATCTAGAGAGATGGTGCTGGAAAACCCTTTCCATGTAGGTTTACTGAACACCTTTAGAACCTGTTGTAGGGATGTGATTAACTGCTACTTATTACCAGGTAGAAATATCTCTGAAGACAATCTTCTTGCTCGTAAGAAAGTCTGATTAGACTCTTGCCTTGTAGACATTGAAGCAGTTGATTTAGTAAGTTGAAGAATAGCCTTTTGGCTGTTGATCTTTAAAAATCTGGAACTCTGACCATATGTGGCCCTTGTCGGGCATTTTTCCTATTTTGGGGTTCTTGCATTTATGTATACATTCTACCCCATACACAGACACACACACAAACACGCACACCACCCCTCAGAAATCACAGATGGGGGCAGTGTCTCTGATGTTCCCTTTCTCCTCTTGCAGTCGGATTTCAGTGGATCATCAGTGGGGACTTATCAGCCCTTTCCCAATATTCATCCACCTCAGATACCAGCAACTCCCCCATCGTATGAATCTGTAAGTGCCTGAGCCTCTTTTATAAGCAGCAAGAGAGTGAATCCCCATGAAGAGAGAGCAAAATAATGGCCACAGGGAAGGCAAAGTTTTGATCATCTCCTAGTACCGGCACTGTTTTTGCTTTGGGGTTCTTGTGTTGCTTTCACACTTCCTGGGAATGGGGAGTAGTGGTGGTGGCAGCATCCGTGGTGGCAATGCTTTGTCTGCAATTAAGCCAGGAATCAGGAAGGAGCTGCACATCTCTTAGAAAGCCCTAGTAGGGCACTTAACCAGTCATTTCTTTGATTGTCTAAGCAGAGAATTACATTGACTAGTATAGCCTTGATGCCAGAATATCATAATAATTAAAATACCAGTTTTGTAAGTTCTCAACACTCATGTAAAGGAATAGTTTTGTTAAAACTAGTGACTAAATTTTTGTCGTAAACGGAAGCGCAGTATCTAGTCAGTAAATTTCAACCTATCACATTAATTTCACATTTTAGACTTAGAGTCAAAACTTGCTATAAATGGCTAATAGGGTAATGATGTCTTGAACTGTAAGTGGTTATAACAGCTTTGGTTTAGGATCATTTGTTTTCTGCCAGCCTCATTTTTTCTGTTAGTATATGCCTTTTGATATTCATTTCCAGGCATTACTGAGAGAACAAACTGGTGTGGCATTTGCTGTACAAATTATTCATCTTGAAAGATTCCCCCTGTTCCTGAGCTTGCTTAGTGTTTTTTTCCTTTGGTTTTTGTCTCTAGCTGATGTGTTTTATGTTGGGCTTGAGTTTTTCTTATTCTTTTGCTTTGATGCATTGAAACACTGCCAACAGTGTCTCTAGGAACTAGGTAGAAGATCTTCATCAGTATTTGAGGACTTGGTTCTTATGGAGGTATTCAGTGGTTTAGTGCTTTTTCTCTGCACAGAAGGCGGTATCAGGTTAAAGAAAGGGGTTATGATATGGTAAAAATTTTCTTTTTCTCTGCTTTGCTGTTAAAGTTCAACATGGTGCTGTTGGGTTGGAAGAAGGTCAGGAGGAAGTGCAGAGGGTGGAGGGGCAGTTTCTTTGGAAGAGTATCTGTTGCTTTTGGTGAGCAATCTAGCTTTTGGAAAACACAGGGGCTTATATCACCATCAGTACTTTTTTCCCTTGATGTCATTGTTTTTTCCTCTAGTAACAACATTTGTGTTTCAGGTTGATGACATTAATGCTGATAAGAATGTCTCTTCTGCACAGATTGTTGGTGAGTATGAGTCAGAAACCCTCAAAGCTCAGTGCTAAACTCCCTGCTATTTTCTCATTACTCTTCCTCCCTCAGAGACTATTTTTACGTCTATGGCATTCTACCCATATGCCCTATCCTCTCCTCAAATGCAGTATGGTTAACACAAAACTCAGGATTTCCCTCTGCTAAAAATAAAAGCTTTTCTCTGGCCCAAAAGATTCTACCAAGCCCTGTTTCTGTCTGTGGCATCACTAATCTTCATTCATTCTTATTTTTTTAATCTTCTAGTTTTTCAGTCACCCTCACATTCTTTATTTCTGTTCTGCTGCTTCAACTTCCATTGTGCCTGGAAATGCCAAAAAGTACGTATTTTTTTAATTAGGACATTAAAGAGAATTTAAAGAGGGGGAAATATGTATAAGTCATAGGCGTACAGCTCAATGAATTTTCACAAAACAAGCGTGTCCATGCATGTAGCTGTCCACTCAGTCAAAAAATAAAACATTACCCAGAGGGGGGGATTCTTTTTTTAAATTGGAGAGTTATTTATTGAGGTATAATTTATATACAGTAAAACACATATCTTAAATATATAGTTTCATGAGTTTCATATGATATATGTAACCACATGTAACCATCACCCCAGTTAAGATATAGGACATTCTCATCACCCCATAAAGTTACCTTGTGCTCTCTTCCAGCCAGCTTCACCCTTCCCCAAAGAGGCAACCACTGTTCTGATCTTCTATGTTGTTGTTACCTGCCATCGAGTCAGCCCCCAACTCATGGTGACCCCATGCACAACAGCAGAACGAAATGGGTCCTGTGCCATCCCCATCCCCATGATAGGTTGCGGATCAGACCACTGATCTTTTATAACTATAGTTTGCCTAACATATAAATGGAAATATGCAGTAGGCAGAGAGGGGATGATTGTAACTTATATAATGCAAAAAAAGCCTAAAAATACACATCCGATCCCATTAAATCAAATAATATGGACATTAACATGCCTTATACAAAATTTCCCCTAGGTCTTAAACAGTGGCTCTTTTTAAAGAAGCAGTATTTGTTCCAGCAAAATTCTAGTGCCACCCTTCGCACTGTGTTGTTACAGTAGCAGACCTTTGTGAAAAAGGATAGTTTTTTTTAAAATTTATTTTTATTTTATTTTTTTTATTGTATTTCAGGTGAAGGCTTACAGAACAAATAGTTTCTCATGAAAC